TGTGCAGGACTGTGAACGCTAGCACAGACTCTCTGATTGTATGCATTTATTCTGACCAAGGATCGAAGGCGTGGGCAAAGATTATAATGGTTACTATTTACTATGCGCTGGAAACAGCAAGAAGTAACTGCTCGTTCCACCAGGGAGTAATATTTTGCTGATGAGCACTGCCTTGCATGCGTAATCATGAAAAGCAAAACTAAACTTTGAAACAAGAGATCTAGAAGCAAAAAAAATAATCAAAGAATTTTCCCAAGTGGCACTGTGTAGAAGCACGACTACCTTCAGCGTTTCAATGCAGACACACCTGCTCATTTCAGTTACTAAAATATCAATATTCTTTGTTGATTGTGCAGATTAGAGCATTATATTTTTAGTTTGTTTCCCCCTGGACACAATCTGCCAAGGCGTTTTTTTATGTTCTTAAGACTGAATTTCACTTGAACTAGACAGCCCAGTTATGAATGTGTCAGTGCTAATTACTAAGCTCTTTATTGCATATTTCATTTTTTTTTCAAGATCGACTGAGTTGGTTGAATGCAGACTCACATATCTTGTTATAATTGATGCCTTATATTCAATTGACCATTTAAAACACTTTTTGTTTCGTTATAAAAAGTAGCAGTATAGTGATTTTATATTTAGTGAACATATTGTATCAACAAATTTATGTACCCTATTATAACAGGTTTCATTTCATTGTCTTCGAGAAGTTCATTTCATAAGTGAAATAAATTATTTTCTACTGTGATACGTCATCATACCTAACTTTGCCAATACCTAACAATGTGAGATATTTTACGGTGATACATACTCATGTTTAACATTGTTAATGGTAACTGATAGAAAATATACTATAATACAGTAACGTGAGTTGATGGATAGTGGGGGGGGGGGTTGAATGGGGACTTTTGAATTACATAATAATATCTGCTTGCTTTATTTTGTGTCAAGTGTAATGAGAATAATATTTACGTAGGTTAACGTGTAAAACCACGATATAATTATCAGGGGCACTTTAGTGGAGGGCGTCAGAAATTTTGACCATATGAGGTTCTTTAAAATGCACCCACGTCTAACCAGACAGGTGTCAAGCATTTCCTCCTTGATTGAAATGGCGGCCACCACAGCCAGGGTTCGATTCTACGGCCTTCAGTTCAGCAGTCAAGGGTTACTTGAATAGTAATCTGGTTGTGGGCTGTGGTTTTGTTTCCGTGATGCATGTCAAGTACAGCAGTTTGGTGTCAACCGGGCATCTCTGCTAGTGGAGTGGTGTTGTGTTTTTGGCATTCTTTCCTAATTTTTGGCAATATTTATTGATTGTTTCTTGTATTCTGAGTTAGTTGTGAAGTTATGAATGTTCCTTCTTCAATACTCTGTGAGCCTGCATACATTTGTTGTTAGCCTGTAAAGCCCAACATGTTATTGTAATATACTTTGCATATCGTACATCGGATGGCTAATTTAGGAGTGCAGAGCTTATATAAGTAGCCCATAGTGTTTTGAATGCCTTGAAAACTGCCTTGGCATCAGAAATTACTGTTGTGAAGAGTATAATAGTCAGGGTGAGCAGTAGAAGTGCCTCAGATAGGCTGGCTGACGTTTTGATAGGAGGACCTATATTCGCCAAAGGCACCTTGTCATCTTTGACGTGTTAGTTTTGAGGGGGTTAGTAAAGACGTCATCTTCTGGTGGTGGCGCGTGTCCCTGTTAGCAATCAAATCACTGTCTGAAAAGAAAGAACTACAAAGCCGAGGAGCGTAGTTCTCGCTTCATTTCAAGTTGGATGATAGTGATCCAAAATGTTCTTGGAGCGTGGAGAAAGAAAAAAAAAGAGGAAGCAGGCAAAGTAAAGCGGTGTACTCTCACTTGGTGCCCGCTACAGAAAACAAAAACTGGAAAGAGCTTGAAAGGTTGAAGCCAGCACACGGTTCCCGCGTACGGCCACAACAAAGGGTTGCTGACAATAGTGGCTTACGCCTGTTCTCGAACACATATGAATGGGACTCATAACAAGAAAGGGGTTACAGAAATGGGGGAGAGAGAAGCAGGCGACGAACTTTTATATGCCAAGATGCCGAAAGTAAGCGATTCCAGATGGGTTCGAAGGAGCACGTGTTTAATAGGGAAGGTCATTGGCGAGAACATGCTTTCAGTATCTAAATACGTGGCCCGCTCAGCGGAATCGCCTGAAGAATATGGCGGCATATTGGCAGAGAAAAACGGAAGTATGAAATGCAAAGGAAATGAACAGCGACGAGAACACAAAAGGCGTGGTAAATGGAAAAAGGCGCGAACAACCATGTCTTTAAAGCTGGCGTTGCAAATGCTACGTGCTACGCGTTGCCACGTGTAGCAAATTTGCGCAAAACCTAAATCTAAGACTAGGACAACGTCTGGTAACTGTGGCCGGCCCAGATGCTCCACCTGCAAACATATACAGTCGGCTACCAACACAACAAGCACAGCATCTGACTACATTCACATGGTCACATCGAGCTTCACCTGCACTTCAAACAACCTAATATACTGTCCTGAGTATGCTACCTGTAGAAAACAATATATAGTGAAGCTGGCAGCCAATTCACGTAACAGTAAACGGCCACCGTGTAGACACAAAGCACGAGTGCAGACACAAAGCACAGTTTGCCAAAACCAGTAGCTGGTCACTTTGACCAACAGGACCACAATTTCGACCACAATTTCGTTCTAAAAACTGACTTCCGGTCACTGGAGTCATATATATATGGAATATGGAATCATATTCGATACCCAAATTTAAGCCCCTACACCTATCAGGAGCCAATGTAGCACGTGTGCTTCCGAAATCGCTGAAAGCCATAGCCTAATTGTGTCGGTATTTAGAGACAAATTATGTTCAACCTTCACATAGACATAACTGGTACTTCATTAAATTGCTCCCAGTCTACATATCGTACAACTATAAAGTTTTTACAACTATAAAGCTTTTATTTTCTAGAACCCTTCAACCACAGCTTTCTTTCCTTTCTTCTTGCTGCAAAAACTACTCCTACCACGCATCGTTGAAGTCTCTGCCTACCCACAAAGTTTTTAGGGTCTCCTTCTTTCCCTCGTCTTTTTTTCTCCCACCTTTTTTTTCATTTTTCTGTTTCTTTTTGAGTTTCTCTGTCACTGCTCATTTCTTTTGCCTTCTCTACCTCCCTTTGTCTCTGCCAAAATGCCGACAAATTTTTAGAGGCAATTCAGCTGAGCGGGTCACCTATGGAGCTACTGAAAACATATTTTTCTAATGACCTTCCAAAATTAACACGTGCTAGTTCGAACCCATCCTTTATCGCTTACCTTTGACATCTTGGCATTTAAAAGTACGACACCTGCTTCAATCTCTCCCATTTTTGTAACCACTTTCTTGTTATGCGTCCTATTTATAGGTGCTCGAGAACAGGCATAAACCCCTATCGTCGGCAACCCTTTGTGGTGGTTGGAAGTGGGGATCTTCTGCCGGTTTCCAACTTCCAAGGTATTTTCTACTTTCGTGTCTTTAGCGACCACCGCTTGGCAGTACACCGCTTCTACATTGCGTGTTTCTTCCTTTTTTTCTTACCTTTCTTTCTCCACCATTCGAGAACACTTTTGAACACTACCACCCAAATTGAAATGAAGCGAGGGCTACAATCCTCTGCTTTAAAGTTCTTTCTTTTCTAACAGGGACACACGCCACCTCCAAGAGATGACGCCTTTACTTACCCCGTCAAAATAAACACGCCTAGTATGACAACGCACCTTTGGCAAAGATTGGTCCTCCTATCGAAACGTCAGCCAGCCAATCTGAGGCACCTCCACTGTTCCCCTTGACTATCCCACTACGTGTTTTCACCTGTAAACTCCCATTTTGATTTTTGTTTTGAAGAGTGTGTTTTTGAGAAATGAATGAAGTCTCTATTACTTAGAAAGATCTGAAAACTAAAGCCTTAAATTTTATTGATGTGGTGAACCTTCGTGGGGTTAGGGCTGATCTGTTAATAGTATTTTTCTTCAGCCACTGACATATGTACATTACCTGTTCGACTATTTTCTGCCAAATGCTCTAAATTGTAGTATGAATGATAATAACAAGTATGAGATATAATCGTGAATGCCTTTGTTTTAAGTTTAAAAAACATGTGTCGTGGTACATGTTTTTGACATTTATCTTACGCAAATGTATGTACTCTTTCAGGAGGTGTGCAAAAATATTTGTCAATAAGTGGAAACGATGTCTACCTAAGCAGCTCAGTTATTTTTGTACAATCAGAAAATTTGAAATGAACTAGGTGAGGCTGAACTCACATGGTTTCGCGATGCCAAGTTTAACTGCAAATGAAGTTGCTGAAACATGTATACGTCTACATCCTGCATGAGACGGGTACACTGTTACGGGTACTATTTTATTGCCTATAATGTGTTTGTGTGTCTACACACCTATACATACCAAACACTCTTGCAGTATCGACTCACTGAACCTCCAATATATATGCACGAGATGCTTTTGCTATTTAAGCTTCTAAATATTTGTAGTTATTTGTATAACCATAAAAAGCAGTCTAAATTTCTATAGACCGCTTTACAAAGAAGGCTTTGAGTAACATCATTGCATTTCATTAGGCATATATATATATATATATATATATATATATAGGCAACTAGCCTTCTTTTTGACGTGGACTTGACAAAGCACCTTTTCTGTTATTACCCTTTGCAGTTGTTGATAGCGTGTCTCGTGCCTACCTATTCGAAGTTCTGTGAGAGTCGATATAGCAGGTGATGTACACCCTTCCACCACCCTCTTAGAGGGGTAAGAAGGGTAAAGCATAAGGGTAAACACCACCCTCTTATAAGGGTAAAGCATAAGAGCAACGAAACTGAAAAGATTTATACCCTTTTAGAAGGGAGTATCTGAAAACACCCATGAGGTGTCTCTCTGGTAAAAAGCCAGTGTGCACCCTTGAGGGTGTAAACAATTTACTGTGTATGGTTTAGGGCTTCGAGGCAATGTTTTTCACCGCAACAGTTTATTCATTCTTTGGATATCACAGCTGCACAATATTTAGACGTGAACAAACGTATCAACTGCATTGTTTCCTCCTCTTCTTGGGACAGATTTGTTGAGACTGCTGAGTAAGCGTTAACGATCTATTCGCTTTGGAGCATATCTGAAATGTGCATAAACGACGACGTTGTCATGATCTTCTTAACAAATACAGTTCTCTTTAGCCGTGGAGACCGATGCCACCGTGGCCCACTCCCGCCGTCTTTCCAAAAGAGGACTGTCCGAATCCAGCCTGGTGACCGGCAGCACCTCCCTGGAAACCCGAGGAACCCTGCTGTTGACCACTGCCGAAGCTTTTGCTGTCACTGGCGGAGAAACCCGAGTTGTGGTTGTAGCCCTGGTTGTTGCTGTAGGCCTTCACGTTTCTATGAGATGAACCGCCAGCGAAAGCACCAGATTTCTGATTGTGCCCTACAGTGCCCTTCTGGAAGCCTGCCTGGTGTCCTCCAGCAGTAGAACCATACCCCGACTGGAAGCCGCCACCAACTCCATGGCCCAGGCCTACACCATGTCCAAATCCACCTCCCACTAGTGCAGGGTTGCCAACGACACCATCACCAACAAGACCAGGTGCTCCAAGCCCAGCGCCCACGAGACCAGGACCGACTCCAGCGCCGTAACCACCCAGGCCTCCCAGGACGCCACCACGCCCCTCGACGTCTTTCTTATCTTCTATCTTCTCGTCCTTTTTGGCAGACTCCTCCGCAAAGGCCGTGCAAGCCACGAAGGCTAGCATAGCATTGATAATGAAGAACTGTATGTTGAGGGAAAAAACAGACTTTCTTGTAACCACGTGATGATAGGACACGTGTGAATAATCCCCTATAGTAAGTAAAAGCCGTTATCGAGAAACAACAACGAACGAAAAAGAAACTGGCAATAATAAGTAAGTTGAAGATGAACGAAACTTCAGTGGCTAATCGAGCTACTCGCACTAGCCTGTAGCCTGTACTACTCGCACTAGCCTGTAGGTACTCGGGCACTTTTTTCTCCCCATACTAAATATTTATAAATTTTATTTACCTGCTTTTTAATTATGGTCTTGAAACCCAAATTATGAACAATGCGATATAGAGCACTTTTTAAGCTTTTTTAAGCTTTTTTATTGTAACTTTCACATCCATGTAACAAAAAACCACCGACAAGATCGTTTCCTGTACGATAAGTCTAGTGCTGTTATTGTTTCCACATTGTAAAGAAGGCCTATAGCAGCACTATAGCAGTGCGCTCGCGGTCCGTCACACAGCTTCTTTTTATGTTTCGCGGGCTTTTTTTACAACGTGGAAAAATAACAGCGCGAGATGTATCGTAGAGGAAACAGTTCAGTCGATGGTTTGTGAAAATGCTCTACGTCTCAGTGTTCATATTTTGGGTTTCCAACCCACAATTTCAAAAATAGGTAAATAATAAATTATTATATTTAGTATGGGGAGAAGTAAAAAATAGCCTGAGTACCTACAGGCTAGTGCGAGTAGTATGCGTTTGGTTCAATTCGTCTCCTAAGTTTCTTGCACTTTCGAATTCTTGGCTCAAGTTATGTGGCACACCTTATATACAAATATATATATATATATATATATATATATATATATATCACAGTGCAGCCGTATGAATTCATTGGCTGCAAACTTCTTTGTATCACTGCACAACATAAGTTTCTTTACTTTATTTGGAAGAAACCAGCAGCGAATGCATACACTGGATCGGCTTTGTAGAGAAAGACACAAACTATCCCTCTCCATATAAGGACGCCCTATTTTAGGATTGTATAATATTTGACATTTTAGGGTTGCGCCAATTAACTGTTGAATTTCTTTTTATATCACCTACCGCCATTTCTAAATAGATCCGCAGTTTCTGCATCTTCATGGTAAGTCAACAGCAAACTTTTGTGAATATTGTAGGAGTTCTATGCAGGCCACCGCTTCTTGCAGGAGTGCAACTTCGCCGTTCAAAGTTAGGCTCAGTAGTTTGCACTAATCCCTCAGGAACCTTTAGCTGGATGATGGTGAACGTATAAAATATCCTTATATCCTTTTCCTCCTCAGTGTAAAATTATGTTGCCCGTGCTGCCGCAAACGTGATTCCAAGATGGAAACTCCAACTTCACCCTACGTATCACAGGACACCTTATGGGAGTTTTACTTTTGCCTGATTTTTTAAGAATAGGTGCTATTGAAGCATGGCTGCCCCTAATCTTAGAAGTCCAACAAGAGCAGGAGAATAGGTCAACCGTTCGAAAGGCGTAAAATGGGTAAGAAATGCAGCATAATAAATTTTGTAGAGAGCAAGTGTGATACTTCAAAGAAGCACCAGCGTTTTTTATTTGTTTTTTTGCAATATGTGATTCATTAGAACAGATATAACATATACGTCAATGTATTGTGATAGAGCAAGAAGTGTTATTTACTAACCGAACATCGCACAAGCTTCAATCAGTTGGAAGTATTTGTTTTCTCTTACTCTAGAAGTAAACTCAAGTTCCAACTACGCTAGGAACAAGTTCGTATGTTCAAATGAAGAAGTTGAAGACGATTGCTTCGAATTTATCAGCTGAACAAAAGATCAGACTAAATAACAACTGAAGTTTCTTGCTTTGTAACAGATTACTCACGGTTTTTGAAATCAGGCAGACTCAAGTTCCTCAAAGAAATTGTATAGAATCAAAATACAAAACTCATGCTTACCTTCATAATGGTAGAGGAGGTGCAGGGAGACAAGCGCTTTTTGTGTTGGACTCAAGTACCAGCTCGTTTGTGGCGACTGCTTTGCTGTTCCACACCACTTCATCCTTTTTATACCCACTCAGTGACGGAGGGAGTTAAAAACAAATATGTATACGTTTGACATCGGAGTATGACAGGACACTACGTGTTTCAGTTGTTAACGGCAACAAACACAAGTCTACAAGGAGAACTGTCACCTTTTCTAGCACTCCCTCTCCGTTTCATCGCACTAGAAACTTTCAACGTTTGGTCGTTCGAAGAAGCGCAACCACCCCGCCTCTCCCGTCTTTCGTCACGCTCTTCCTCTGATCATGCGTGCCTCGACAGTGAAAGCGGTGCCTTCGTCCTTGAAGCCGGGAAAGTGAAGTGCCGCTACGTCATGGAACGAATCGGGGTTATGTCGCGTTTTGCGCTCAATTTTCTTCACGAAATTTCCACGAATCTGAAATAAATGTAGCAGCGTAGTATCTTTGAAAGGTTGCAACTGTTTCTTCGGACGTCTTTCCTTCCCGTTTGCATTTCGCCTGGTTCAGAAGCCCCAGCACTGGCTCTCCATTCGCGATACTATAGCGCTTGTTGAGTTCGGTGTATTTCCGCATAAATGATTACCAGTTACCACTCAGTTTTCCGTGCCCTGCTTTTGCCGAGAATTTTGGAACTGAAATGATACCATTACTATATTTCGACTACTGCAGATGCAAATGATGCCCAACCAATCATTTGAAATTGTATGCCGTGCCTTTATACACGTGTTCCCTTTTATTTAGCTTTTGAATATATATTTTGGTATGTTGTTTTGTTTTTGATGATAGAGGATGTTTCATAGTCATCTAAATTAGGAGGACACGCAATCTCCAGTGCGTGCAGCTTGAGTTTCTGTGGATTACTTTACTCATTATTAGCTGTAGTACACTAGGGTCACTATCAATCAACGAATAGCGCGTTTGCTTACAACTAACGAGAAAGAACATAACATCTGTGTCACTGTATTTTTTGTGGTTGTTCGCCATTGATCTCTTACAGCATTGCAATCTCGGAAGTCTACCTAGTCGTAGAGCATGGGTTGAGTGGAGCCTTGAATTTATGGCGCACTAGTAGACTGGGTGATTGACCAGGAATTGTACAGTTTACAATCGACGAATCGCAAATCGAACGCTTATTTTCCCAACTTTCAACGAAAAAACCTAAAAATGAAACAAGAAGCGATAAGAATAAAATAAAAATAAAGCAGTTAGGGAAAGTAGAAAAAAGAAGAGTAATGATTCTTTTTGTATGCCAAATCCATTTGAACCTTCAAGAAATTCCTGTAAGGCAAGCACTTTTCATTGAAACAGCTTCGTCATGCTGATAGTTATGAGTTCACAGTAGATAACAATTGTTATCGTCACAAGTAAAACCTGGGCGTAATGCGGTTCAGTACAGTGTGTTTCCGATATTCGCGCAGAATATTGTGAATATCAATCATCCGAAATAGACACAATGGGTGGTTGTCCGTAAGGCGAGAAGTTCCAAGCGACACTTGTAAGGACCGACCAGGGCAGCTGGCGTTCCCAAATAACTCCCGTCAGCAAAAGCCGGCGCGCACCAAGCAAATAATTATCAAATCAAATTAAATAAAACGATACTTCATTTTATCTCAGGAAGGAAAAAGTGGATTGCGCAAAAAGCTGCCTTACTGTAGATCAGGTCCGCACCTCTGTGTTCAGCTCGGCAGTGTGCAGCACTCACTAAAGGTAGATAGCATCCTAACACAAGTCAATGTACATTGCATAAGCATGGAAATAGGAGAAGCAGTAATACAATGTTTCTTGGTGTGGTTTGTTTTGCTATAAAAAGACCTTCATGAGAATTCTACGCTTCTAGGATTGCATTTGCCGCCAGCGCATTGACTGCCTTAAAGTTAAGAAAACTTGGATGACACTTGAATCTCGCCTTCAAGCACACACAACGTGAGAGCGTAATCAACCCCCCCCCCCCCCCCCCGGTGTATTGTCTTCTTTCGTTGGTAACTTGCCTTGCTAATTGCTAGTCTTGTCTTGCTTCACGATGCATGTTTCAATTGTGCTGCAAGTAAACGGACTGCTGTGCGCGTAGCATTGGCCGTTTCAAACTGTTCCACAAATTCAAAGCTTACTAAATTTGTTAGTGCGCACTACTTCATAATTCTTCTTTTTGCGATGAAGCTAAGGGTCCACTACGTGTCCGCAAACCATCACGCGATCCTACGCAGCTGCTTCCTTTGTCGACGCTTTTGCTGGTGCTTATGATGATCAAGTCTGCCTGAGCACTTAGTAAGGGGTCAATCTTTAAAGCACCCACTCGTTGCGCACTTTAATGTTTTGACGCCTCGCGTCACTCTACGCTTCTGCTGCGATATATCGCATGCGTTGAGTCCTCGCCCCACATGACGTTTCTATAGCGTTTCTTTATTTGATTGATTTGTGGGATTTAACGTCTCAAAACCACCATATGATTATGAGAGACGCCGTAGTGGAGGGCTCCGGAAATTTCGACCACCTGGGGTTCTTTAACGTGCACCCAAATCTGAGCACACGGACCTACAACATTTCCGCCTCCATCGGAAATGCAACGTTTCTTTATTTATTCATTCGGTAAACCCCACATGTCAATCAATTTTTTATTCATTCTTTTGCTAAGCAACATCCAGCAATCTCATAGTAGAACACCTGCTTGTCATGTAAACGGCCAAAATTTGCCATTTATTTTCACGAAATATTTTTTTATATTTAATTAATTTGAAATTTTCTCAGATATTTTGTCATTGGCAAGATAATTATATCAATGACAGCGACACCAACGCTGGCACCAAAACTTCACTACAACGAGCTCTTCAAACGCTCCCGCGTTAAAACCGTTATATTTTCAGTATGTTAACATGTGTCTCTGGCAGAAGTTACATCATAATCCTACCTGAGAAACATTTCTAAGCTTAGTTTTGGGCAAGTTTTTAAACTGTACTGTTGTAGCAGTGTTTCAAAAAGGCAACTTCAAAGCAATTTAGCGGGAGATTACGAAATACTAGACATTGGTAGCGTCGACCCGACAAATGGTAAGAAGAAATGTAAGGGTCCCAGCTGGAATCAAACCCAATAATTCTGCGTGGCAATGAAGCATTTTACCACAGAGCTACGCCAGGTCTCGGAACTGCTTTTTCAAATAGACGCTAATCTTTCGTGAAACGTCAATAGTGGTGGCAGTGCTGCCTACCCAATTCTATAAACATGGCATACGTACTCCTTTGACACAGCTGTCACGTCGGCCTAACGTCAATTGTGGTTAGTTGCCATGCGCTGAAGCTTATTTATGTAGCAGTGTCCAGTGACAGCATCCGCATGAGCATCAGTGCTTCATATCAGCTTCTGGTGTTGCTAATACGCATGTTCAAGTTGGCATTGTTGCGCAAATGCAAACAACTGGTTATATAAACATTTGCAACTCTTCTACTTATGGCTGTGAGATTTCATTTAACGTCGTGTCGTGTCGCTCAATAAAAAATTGCAACATGGCCACCTTCCCGCCATATGCTTCGAATAACCTCGATTCCCAGGTACGGGGATCTGCCAAATTTTCTATCTATCTATCTATCTATCTATCTATCTATCTATCTATCTATCTATCTATCTATCTATCTATCTATCTATCTATCTATCTATCTATCTATCTATCTATCCATCCATCCATCTATCTATCTATCTATCTATCTATCTATCTATCTATCTATCTATCTATCTATCTATCTATCTATCTATCTGCTTGTCTGTCTGTCTATCTATCTCTCCACTTACGTCTGGCCACACTTGTGGTTGTCTCATTCACATCGTACATACAGAAATCGACCTATAGAAAGAAAAAAGTGTATGATGAACTCAATAATTATAAAATATGCACAAAATTATACGTCTGTCACGTACGTAATGACACGCTTTCCCAATGTCGCGTGCATCCAATACCCGCATAACAGGCCCTTAGAATGCAGGGATGCCTTAACTGATTCAGTCTTTATCAGTTCCGAGATAGCTATGATAAACATTTAAAATGTAGTCGTGATAGAATTAAGAAACCTTGTCTATGAAAATTCAGTGGGAACACCTACGACATCCTCGAATTATGAAAAGCTCCGATGTCCGCCAAGAATTACAATAATTGTACAAGTCGGTATCAAACCAATGCATTCTGCGTGGCAGGCTAGTGCTCTACCGAAAAATCACAGCATATCCACAGAGGGAATGATGATGAGTGGGGCGAATCGTTCATCCGTTCGTCTGTTTGTCTGTGTGTTTGTTTGGCGATGAGCACGAACTGTCGCGGCTCGTGAGATACTGCCAGTTACGCCTGATGCAGGACAAGGGTGGACCAAGAAGAGCTTCCTCCCTAAAAACTATGCCAGTGTATTAAACGACACATTATCGAACTCCAGACACCAATCGGGCATGCTGTGTGGAAAGACTGTTCTTCATAGTGAATCAAACCGACCCTCTTTTTTTCGTGAGAAATGACGTGATATTTTTATTTCTTCATTTAAAATTACCAGAATAGCCTGCGGCACCTCCTAGTGGCACAAACGTTAATTGTTTAAGCTGCCCTGTCACATGATCGTAAAATAGTGTACGTGGTCAACGAATTCCCTGTTCGTATTAAAATATTCTTTGCTGCTTCATAGTAAAATATATTACTCTATAAAAACTACTTAAGGGCAGCGTTAGTAGTGCGCATTAAAGTGCCGCTGCCTTCGCATGACAAAACGATCCCATGCTCGTCAGCTGGTCATGAGCAACTTTTCTACGTGCTCATGAAACTGTGCACGCAGTTTCCAGGTTGCTAAGATTTTGGAGTGACGTGGTTTTTTTATTATTTAGACTTTGTCTCAGAAATTACGTGCAGTGACGTTTTCGGTATATTGACTTGGCTCGTGTGTCGACAGAGTAACGAATACGAGACAACCTTTCCACGACAAATTTGCATCAACCTTGGGCGCAGGCACACGCAACACGGCACAAATACAGGTAAGCTGTGTAAAGCCACATCGTCTAATTGTAACAGCTTGTTATTTTGAAAAATAGTTGTAACGCTCAGAATAAACG